CTCATGTTTTTTACTTTCCTAATTGTCACTTTTCATATGTGTATGCAATATCTCCTGAAAATTCATGAATAAAAAAAAAAAAAAAAAAAACGTAAAAGTACTGTTGGGAATGCAAGCGGGCATGTCAATTTTACGTAAAATTGACGTTAATTTTATATCACCGTTTACGTATCACAGAGGTGACATTTATGCGAACGCGTTGGCATTATCTTGAAAATGGTTTGCGTAAAAATTATATAAAATGGACAAAAAATTTACATTCAGTTTACGTAAAATTAACATAAACATGCTGTTTGGGAAGCTACAGACGACGTCCAACGCGACTTTTCGCTGGCAATAATAGCATTTGTCAACCATTTCCCAAAATAACAGAGTAAACTGGGACAATAATTTCTATCATGTGGCATGTTGATTCTAGCAACATGTGACCAAGTAATTGAAGATCTAAGCCGAGTTTTTTCTTGCGCACTCTGTAGTTCAATCATTAACCATCATATTCCCAATGTGTTGGCTTTTCATAATGAGATATAATTTCTACTTGAGAATAAAAGTGTCAAAGAACATTTCCTTTCCCATGCTTACCTTTGTGATGTGAGCCAGAATGAAGATTCTATAACGTTTTCCTTTCAATAATGGCCTGTTGAGGTATCCATTAGAAGATTCATTGTCTCCCAAATTAAATATATATGGAATATCTTGTCCAAGAAACTTTGCTGCAACATATGGCTGATCCTCAGGAAGAAGTTCATGGGTGCCATTTTTGAAGGTCCACTCTATTTTCCTTCCCTTAACCTGGATGGATTATTCAATACATGACTGGCTCCAATCAATACAGTTTCTCTTGAATGGATTGAAGAGAGAAAAATTATTACATCATCTGAAAAAATATGTTCGTGAGGCTGGAGGGAATCAGTTCTTTGGTTCTCAGGCACCACTACTAGTAAGTACTGTGACACGGGACCGTACTTCTCTGAGGCCCGGGGCAAAACCACCATGATTGTTCGGGACGCTGTCACTCCAAAAAAGCGTGGGGGTGCGATATCAGGTGGAACTATGAGAGCAAGAATACGTTAATGCCAAATGAATCATAAGATCGAAATAATTTAAAGTCATGGGTCTCACCATCTTCGTTTGTACTGAAATAGATGCTGCCTGGAGGAATATAGGCAAAGTCTGGTGTTATGGCGGACACATTCACCCTGTATGTTGTGAAGGGTATAAAATCCAGAATATGCTTGGTAAATTCCACTTTGGTGGCAGTTACAAATAGGACTTTTGCAAGAACTTGCTCTCTCTGAGCGACTCCATTGTTGTCCACAAATTCTTTTACTGCATCAATCGAGACCTTCAGAAAAGAAAAGCTTTTCATTACAAAACTAAGACCTTACCAAGTACTTTGTCATACAGTCCTGTTAAAAAAAAAAACCGAACGTATCTATTTGAGGAACGGGTCGAGATTAGCTGTTGTAGTGATGTGTGAGGATAGAAGACATCGGGTCCTGATCATCCGAAACATTTAGGCTTCACTTTCTGAACGCATACCTTTTTCGAAGCATGCGGATAACCATGGCGCTAACGATGAAGTAGCGTTGGGAAATAATTCTCCTCTGTACCCAAAATCTTGGTCCCAGGCTTTCTTCGGCAGCGATTGCGAAGCGCGTCGGCTGCTCGAATTCGCTGGCACATCACTGGGTCGAATAGTTCAAGAAAACCGGCGACGTGGCGGACGAACTAGGAAGGGAAAGAAAACGGAAGAAGACCACGGGAAATGCAGATGAACTGATCGTGCAGGAAACCCAGTGGAACGTCTATCCACGGACGGACGTACGTGTCCACATCCAGAACGGAAGTGCGTGTACCAGCCCAGACGATCGCAACCGGCGTCAATCGTTATAATCCAGACTGAGACTTCTAAAATACGCGAGACCAGGGAGGAGCTGACTTCCAACGAAGACAGGAATTCTTGTACAATCAACTCATCCTCCTTTCCTTTGGTCTTCCGTTCTTCCCTTCCCAGTTCACCCGTCACGTCCCTGTTTTTTTGAACGTTTTGACCCAATGATGCGTGGCCGACTTCGAGCAGCCGACTTGCTGCGGTTGTGAAAACCGCATCCGAAGAAACCATGGGACCAAGATTGTGGATACGGAGGGAAAATTTCCCTCAACGTTACATCATCGTAAGCGTAATGATCATCCTCATGCTTCGAAAAAAGATTCAAATTCGAAAAGTGAAGCCTAAATTTTACTGGTGAGCAGGTCCCGACGTCTCCTGTTTGCGCTCGTCCCCGCAACTGCTAATCTCGCTCCATTCCACAGATAGACCCGTTCGGTGTTTTTGATCATCAATAACACTAAAATAAAATTTTTTAAATCATATCCGTGGCCAATGAAAAAAGATTTTCAACTATAAATCACTTTCGACATGATTAATTCATAACAATGAGAAAGTTATCCATATAACATATACTTCCAAAAGGATTTCATATGATTATTTATTTCAATGCGGAGCATTTTGATTTGTTGCGCCTCGGGCTTCATAACTGGGACCTCATGGACAAACGAGTGCAGGGCAATAGTTGCATAGGAAATACAAGGCGTGAGAAAAATAGTGAGATCGTTTTAAAAAAATTACTGCTAACACTGGACATTAACTTTTGTCTATATCAAAGTAATCCCTTTCAGAAATTACCTGGTATGCATTCATTATAGGGATGCTGCTACTGTTGGAAAGACCTCTGGAAGTATTCTTGAGGGATCCCTTTAAGGGGCGAAGGTCTTGGCTATCGTGCCCAAGTTAAATTGTTCTTTTTTTTTAAACGACTATTTGAGATAGGTGATTGATATTCTTTACACATATATAACTTCTTGTTTCCTTGATAAGGTAAGTAACATTTGCAAAGTACATTTTACAATCATCCTTTTTTAAAAACTTATTCTTATTTATTTTTATTGAGCTTTTAAATTATACTTTTTTGCAACTTACTTTCACATGATTTCATGGATTTGATCGGTTTAGTCTCGAGAATGCATATTCAGCATACTCTGAAAAAAATAGCATGAAATATCTTGGGAAATGGGAAAGAAAGGAATACTTAAAATTCAAAAATGGTAATTTACATGATAACGCATGTAAAGTTCAGGTTCCATATCATGATTCTGCAGTCACTCCTTTAATTTATGCCTGCTCCATATTCACGATATTCTGCGTCTTTGTTCTCTTTTTCTAATAACTTATGGCTATTTTAATAAATCAATGCAATGAAGTGCATAAAATCCGGTTGTATACTAATGCAAAGCATCAGAAAATACTTATTGGGCGTCAATTTGGCATAATTTAATAGCAAAATCATAAACTTTCTTGTTTAGAATTAAACAGGGAATTGGAAAAATGAAGAAAAGGAAAATGGCGTTTATATATGTGATTTTCTCGTCCTGATCCGTTTTAAGAAATCTAGACAGCTAGAAATCTAGAAAGTCCGTCTTCCTGTTCTACTGTCAGAAGTCTGAGGGCAAGGGTGGCTGAAACCTTCCTCTTGTGAATATGTCCGATCTAGATTGAACGAACTGGCTCTCATGACTCGTGTAAGATAACAGTCTAACGGTTAAGCGTCGATCAGTTTGAATCAAATCACAAACCTTTTCAATGGTTTTTTCCATGAAAGGTTTTTGGACGACCACTTTCATCTTCTCTCTTTCAACATTGGCGTATTCATTTTCATCCGTAAACCCCTAAACCACTCAAATAGTCCACCTCCAGACAAAAAAATTTCCCCATACACCTGCTTTAAAGACTATTTGTCTTCATAGATGATTTTCCCAACTTGTCTCCAAATTTGATGTTGATTCGCTCGTCAATATGACTGACATTTTTATGAAAACACACTTAAACACAGAATTACTGTATTGAACAGTATATCACACTTTAGCAACTAAGACAACTGAAATTAATAAAACATCAACTTTATTACAGACTTGTCTGAATCTGTCTTTTAAATGCCTGCGGTTATATTTCGGCTGTAAAAAGATCAGTTCCATTATTTTTTGTCACACCTCGTATATGCTGCAGATTGACCCAAAACTCCCGGCAGACATGTAATTTACCAAATTTATTCCGTAATCTTAGCAATAAACAACTAATACTTTCTATTTAAAAATTAGTCAAAACTTATTATGATCGCATGTGTTATCATATACATGATCTGAAAAAAAAAACTGTATAGATCGGAAAATTGTACTGCAATTTTTTTTCAGCCATTAAAAAGTTTGCCAGAACATTTCATCCCCAATGAAATATAATTATAAATCATGTGGAAGTTGAATCTTGCCATATATTGCACAATTATATGTCCAAGAATGGAAATATTGGAGATAAGGGTCAGGACATATTCCGTACATGACGACGTCGTTACTGTTACTGCATTCACATGGCAACACCATTTCTAGGGTTTCGACGATGATGGCACTTTTGTTGACATGAACACTGGAAGAGCGGCGCTATGTGATCAGATTTCTCAACCCGAGAGGCGTCAAATCAAGCAGCATTCGAGCCAAAATATTGGCATAAAAAGAGGATAAAAAGAAGTGTATGAACCAGAATGTTGTGTAAAATGTGTGGAACGGGTCAAGAAAGGCCGGACATAACGTAGGCTGATCAAAAAGGAACGGAACATTGGCAGCAGTTCAAATACTGCTCTTCGAAATCGTTGGCCAAACAGGAGACATCAAACACATTCACTTTGCAACTTATAGTAAACATTTCAGTTGTCTGTTATTTAAGGAACTCTGTTGGTGATAAAAATTACCAAAGATGGTAACTTTCGTTCGCACGCTGTGCGTCCACAACATACGTATGTCGTGGACGCACAGCGTACATGGAGACTTGTGTAGGTGGCAAGAGATGCTAACATTGCGCATATTGTGAGACTGATATGCGCACGCGAATAGAGGACATAGTGCAGTGTGTTGGTTTTAGTAATGACTCAGTTTACTCATCATTCATGCCTTGCTCATAATTTCGGAAGATTTGTTCCCGACGGTTGCTAAAGATGTTGACGCACGAGCATGAGGCAGAACGAAAAAGAGACTATTTTGCAAGTAAAAATATGACAAGGCCTATAAGTGTTCATGAAAGAACTCAAAACGGATGAAGGAGACCCCCATCTCGAACAAGTAATCGAATCCAACCTTGTAATAGTGGGGCTTGAAAGCACGGGGGGCATTCCAAGAAATGGACGTATACCAGTGGAATGTTGTGCCGAACTCGAATTGTGTTGGAACTTCCTTTGGCTTCAACTCCACTTGAACTATCTTTGATAGCCTTCCGAAGCCACCCTAGGTTGAAAACATATACAGAGCATCATACTACTCTATTCCACTCCCCATTGAATTAAAAATGAGAAATGCAGTCTTACTTCCTTCGTTCGGCAAGCCACTTGGATGTAATAGGAGGCGAAGTGTACCAGATTTTTCAGCTCTGCAGAATATGTGATTTGGACATCTTTGCAGGACCACATATCCAAAGCCATAGTTTCGTTCCTGGTATAGTATATCTAAAAGGAACTATCAGAAGTAATAACTCTTATTCATTAGCAAGCTATTTATGATCTGCAGAGACCTAATCACCCTATATCCGACAATTGCTTTTGGTGAAACTTCATCCCACCAGACCTCCATTGAATTGTTTGAAGTTGCCAATGCCTGAACGTTGCTGGGAGCACGAACAATTTCAGTAATGGTAGAGAAGTACATATTCTCTGAGAAGGGACCAATGCCTTCTGTTGTGTAGCCACAGACTCGAAAGTTGTACGAAGTGTCCTCTTCCAACTCTGAGATAACCATCTAAGTAAGATATAAAAATGAAATTTTCACATTCTTCCTTGGCAAATGTAGGGGTTATTTCCTTTATAGATAAGCTACCTTTGGTGTTGAGGAATTTTTTTCCATGATGAAGTAGTCATCCATATTCTTATGAAATTGAAGGATGTAACCGAGAAGTCGGTCATTAGAACAACGGAAGGCCTCTGGAACATCCCAGGTGAGGATAACGGTGTCTGCCGTGATGAAGTGAAAGGATATGTTCGTGGGGGGGCCAGTAGGAGGTGCCTCAGGCGTGTTCACCTCAGCCAATGCCTCCTGGCTATAGCCAACGTCATTGCGAGCAGCTAATCGGAACTGATATTTGAATCCATTCTCTGGGAATATTTTCCATGTTATTTGATTTATTGGCAATGAATTTTCCATTTGGCAAAAAAGGACTGGAAGAACAAATCTTACCAAGGCGTCGAACGGTATATTCATTTGTATCGTATCCATTCAATATGATCTCTTTCATGTCGAGTTTTTCAAATTGATGGTTTTCGAAATTTACACAGAAGTTGGGTCGTTTCCCATAGCGCAGGCGCCATCCCAGAATGCCTCCAGGTGTCTTGGAGGAATTGATCCATGTTGCATTAATGGCAACGGTTAGGGATTCATCTGCGAATAGCCTAAGTAAAAATAATGTTTCCTTTATTTTTTGTTGAAAATACTTCCAGAACTGAAAAATCTAACATTTTCCCGAAGGTTTTCCACTCCTATATTTAAACACGTAGACCCATTTTACTTTCAGTTTTTGTCCTCTTTCCTGAGAAAGTGTGGTAAATTTTGTTCATTGTCTTTCGAGAGCAGAAATTATGGAATACATCGAGAATGCTACCTTATCTGGAGAAGAGGTCTGGACGGAACCCCTTCGGGAGTCCTGACGACTTTGTTTCTACTTGGTATCCCTCTACTCTTTCTTGTCATAGCTGCTACCTGAACCTTATATGTCGAATCTGGCTGGAGATCCGTCACAAGACTATTCAGTGCAGATTCATTTGTGACGATGTAGGAGTGTTCTTCCGCAACCAGCTCCTCCTCGTTAACTTCCCCATGGATGTATATCTGATATCCAATTATGAATCCATGGTTCTCATCTTGCATTGGAGGCTTCCATTCCACAAATAAGGATGTGGAGTTGATCACCTTAGTCTTGATTTCAAGTGGCTCACTCGGCACTGGAATTGAAAAAAAAAACTATGAATATCAATATCATGAAAGTCCTGGAAACACATTGAACCATTTCATAGGCATTATCGATTTCAGTATAAGTAATTTACTTCACTTTAGCGCTACTACCAGAACTTTCAATCTTGCGCTGCTATATTTATATGTCGGGAAACAATGAACGTAGAAATGTGCAATGACTCCGAGACACTCCACGTTTTGGTTCCTCATGATTTCTCAACTAAGAACGTGAAGGTCTTTGGTATAGGGCTAAAAATATTTATTAAAATAACAGCATTCATGTCTTGTTCTCACTTTGGACTAAGAGGGCTCAGAAAGTTCTATTCATTCTGTTCTAAGCATGAAATCAGCAATACTCCTCATTCGCTTACTTTCAATTGTCTCTGTAGTTTTTACCCTAAAAAGAACAGAAGGTGCCCTTTTATTGGGTTGGAAAGAAAGTCTTGCAACACTTTCTAAAACTATTTATAAAATTTTCAAAGGAATGATGGACGGGGCTTTGCATTTGTATATGCTGGAATGTTCTCGAAGCTTCTGCCCTCGGGGTATATAAGGCGGTTTCTGCCATTAGTTGGCAGCCATGGCTCCGATCGAGCAAGCAACTCTTCGCCCCATCGTCTACTACGAGTTCCTCCAAGGACACTCTGCGAGAGCCGCCGCGGACAACATCTGCGCTGCATTCGAGGGCAACGTCGTCCACTATTCCACGGTATCTCGNATGGCAGAAACCGCCTTATATACCCCGAGGGCAGAAGCTTCGAGAACATTCCAGCATATACAAATGCAAAGCCCCGTCCATCATTCCTTTGAAAATTTTATAAATAGTTTTAGAAAGTGTTGCAAGACTTTCTTTCCAACCCAATAAAAGGGCACCTTCTGTTCTTTTTAGGGTAAAAACTACAGAGACAATTGAAAGTAAGCGAATGAGGAGTATTGCTGATTTCATGCTTAGAACAGAATGAATAGAACTTTCTGAGCCCTCTTAGTCCAAAGTGAGAACAAGACATGAATGCTGTTATTTTAATAAATATTTTTAGCCCTATACCAAAGACCTTCACGTTCTTAGTTGAGAAATCATGAGGAACCAAAACGTGGAGTGTCTCGGAGTCATTGCACATTTCTACGTTCATTGTTTCCCGACATATAAATATAGCAGCGCAAGATTGAAAGTTGACATGTCCACTGCAAGGATAATCACATCATGAGGAATGGTAGTGTTTAGTAGCCATTCGTGGAAAGAAATGATTTTCATTAAATCATGAGGTAAGGAATTCAGGAAAATATTATATATGCCTCATGGATTAATACATATTTTACACATTTCCAGTAATTTTTTTAACTGTAGCGGACATTAAACAATGAAGAAATTAGTGACGTTCCTCATGGAAGGGTGTGTTAATGTATCCTAAGTCTAATATAAAGAGATTCATAAAACATCCGGCGTATGAATTATTCGACGCAGGTTCATCTATCTAAGATATTATTTTGGCGTTTATTTAATTTAGATGGGCTAGTGAAGAGGCAAATTGATCTGCGTCAGGCATCAAAGGAATAGGAACTGCATAGGACAGTTCCTACGTTATGATATTCCTGCTTACCATAATCTTGTGTGGAGACAAGCACGTGAGTATATCCACCTTCACCTCTAATGCTTTTTGCTGAAATCCATGCGTGGTATTCGCTGCTCGGGTAGAGGCCAGTCAACGTGTGCTCTTCGATGCTCATGTCAGAAACGATAATGCTTCTATGATGGACTTCCTATACCCCGTCAAAACGAGGTAAAAGTTCTCGCATCGATACGATTGTCAGAACATCAAAATTGCTTGATGGAATTGCGATGCAAATTATAAAGAACGAGTAGAACCGCGCGAGCCAGAAAAATTAATTTCTAAACACAGGGTGACGAAAAGTATGAATCCCATTTTTCTTTTCACACAGAATCATGAACAATAAGTATCCCACCTTGAAGCTTATAGGAGAAGGTGGGGCAAAACGGGGCGGTTCAAGAAAATTTGCAAAATTTTGTACCAATGAATTGACATAGCACGTTGCTGATTAGCATGCGGCACCTTTCATGCCTTACGTACAACTAGGACTTAACTTCATTGCGATATCAACGACAGTGTTTTCCCAGCGACAATTCCAAAATTGTTGACGATTTTGCCCCACCATTAGCCCAAAATGGGACGTCCCTTTGGGGTAAAACGAGGTACTTCCACAGAGATGGTTTTACAAATTTTTTATCCATAGTATACAGTAAACCTATTAGAATAGAGCACAGAACAGAAACATCAATGAAATATCTACAAATGGCAAACTAATGCTTTTCCACATGTTTTCGTGTCTTCATTTTATGCCCATTTACAAAGTTCACAATACAGAAGACCGCAACGAAACATCCACAAATTACCAATAGATGCTTGCTCTCGTTCCCCCAGGTCTTCATTCTTACTTGCGAAGATGAAAGAACAAAAATAGGAATGAAACATCTAAAAATAAAACGTTTTTTTACTCATATCTTCCAATATTTTCATTATATGGCAATTTACTAAGGCCACAGAGCGGAAACAATGAAACATTTAAGACAAAGCAATTGTTGCTGTTTCAATTTGCTATGCATGTATTCCTAATGGATGCAAATTTACATGAGTCAAAGAAAAACACGTCTCCATCCTTGTCGTCATCGATGCCTGCAAAGCTGTCATGAGCCGAATTCTACCCAATAAAGTCTTTTTCTCAAACCTAGATGACCAATGAGGAGGTTGGTCAGTTTAGGAAACTCCTCTGAAATCCACAACGGAGGAAGGACTGAAAGTGAGAAGTCAGTTCCGAGCTGATCGGAGACTCGGCCCGGCCTCTTGAACGTGGTCTTCCCTCCCTCAAAATTATTCCTTTCTTTCTCATCTCCTCCCCAACTAAATATCTGAAGTGTCCGTTCGGTCCCGTAGTTTTACCTAAAGCCCCATTTAGTGACGAGTGTCTGGGAGTAGGATAGGTGAGTTTCTTTCGAGCCTGAGTTGTGTTTTCCGAGTTAGGTGCTAAGGACAGTGATTGGGCAAAGGATTAAGGGTGGGGAAAATCATTATCTAAATCCGAAAAGGGACGTAAATTCATACCATTTGTTTCGTATCAGAGACGGACCAGTTCGTTTTCTGTTCATTTAGGTTTCTATTACATTTTGTTCCATTTGTTTCGAACAGCCTTCCAAGGGTTAATATTACATTCCTTTTCGTGTTCTACTCGTATTTTGTTCTGTGGAATTGATTAAATTCGTTAAATTAATTAATAGATTGATTAAATCTATTAATCAGACTTGGTGTGGTGATACTCCGATCTCGAACTTGAATGGGTACGAATCTCGCTCACCTGGAGAAATTTGTGGGGTGTTGCAGGACTTTTAAGAGAGAAATTTCTTCATATCTCCTTTGATTGATTGATACAATCCGACCAATTGCGTCCCGTGCACATGACAGTCCAGGTTTTAGGAAAAACACGACACTATGATGGTTCGAAAGAACTTAGAGAGATCTATCATTCTGAGCAATATGTATTCCCGTACTTGGAATCAAAGAAACGCTATTGAAGGTCAAAGCTGGCCTAATATGGCAAAATTTCCAACTTTAAGTACGCATAGCAGGATTTTGAAGCAACGCGAAAAAAGCACATGTATATTTTGACTAAACTAATAGAGCATGAGAGACTGGCGGGTTGTGTTGCCAGCATTTTCACAGTGAAATTTGTGGATTTGAAAATTTGATGGTTTCGGAAAATTCATGACGTTGTAACTTTTTCCTAAATGAGACGCAAGAAAACCGAAATGATTAGATATAAATGTCTTGCTACTCACTTTGAAATGAGCTGTTAACCGGTTTTCTAGATTAAGTAGTTCGGGAGTTATTGAATTGGCTTCATGGGTCATTTTACCATTCCTTTCCAAACTTCCAAGGGTCATATCTCAAAGACCGCTTGACTCAGACTGCTCAAATTTTGTATTCATCTGTTTCGCAGAACTCCCATTCCACTTAATTTTTAATAGCGGAATCCCATTAGGTGCAGGAACCACCTTTGGACCACTTGAGCTGGAATGACTAATACGTATATATCGCATTGGAATTTAAAACCCCGCCACAACAGCAGGACTTGTATACCTCACATCTCAGTAGAATGAATGGGTATATTTCAACTCGGGTGGGAAACCGATCCAATCGCATATTTTCGACAATACTTTGCTACCAACAAAGGTTGGGTGAGGATGAGATGGGTCTCCAATAAAATCAGAAATAGGGTATTATTATTTTCATTCTGCGATGATAACAAATGGTTTTTCTCACACAATTCAGCAAAAGTCGTGCTACGCGGTCGATTTAATTTTGCCAGCGCCTATGTTTCCATTTGTTTTTTCTGATCAATTTAGGAACTAGGCTTTCTATTTGGCCCTTTTCCGTTTCGATTTCGGCGGCACCAGGTGATGTTTCTGTTGATCGAACATCGGTGTACAGAGGGTGGAAGGAAAGGACCAATTTCGACCAAGCACGAACACCCGACCATGTTATCCGTAGGTCATTCACTCTGTTCTCAGAAAACGACTCATATATGGAAACATTGGCCCTTTCCATGCCTTCTCTGTATACCTATGTTCATTCGCCAGAAACAAGAAATTCCCTGGTGGTGCAGAAATCTAAACGGAAGATACCGAAATAGAAAGTCTCTTACCGAAGTTGATCCAGAAAAAACGCATGAAAAGAGAAGCGCTGCCGAATTTGAAACGACCGGAAAACCTCTATTATGCATTTTACCGCTTTCGTGCATTGGTAGCAATCAATGATCTAAAGCACGGAAGTACTCTCACCCTGGAGTATGTGTCATTCCAATACAATTCATAGCTGATAATGGGCTCTTGATCATCGTCTAGAGCGTCAGGTGGGTCCCACTTGAGGCTGATAGTTGAGGCTGTCCGATTGACGATGCGAAGGTCGTTCGGCTTGGCTGGGACTGCAGCATTCAAGGGTTAATGGATATCAATATGATGCTATGATGATGATCTCATCTTTAATGCAGATTTTTTGGAGCATGTGTTAATATTGAATGTGATTACTTAAGACCTCGTCGATGCATGAAGGGGTCAAGCAGGAGAGAAAGCGGGAGTCAAGAAAAGCCCGATATACTATGCAGGAAAGAATTAAATGACGAATTATAATCGATCTCATGCCATCCCCATGAGCCATTTTCTGGCACTTGCATTTAGGATCCATTGCAGAAGGTATAATATCAATAAAATAGGTGGAAGTGCACAACCCAGATGGCTTCAGCAGGTAAGTCAATTCCACGTAAAATCAACACACTGCAAAACAAGACTTTCTCTTATTTTGATGAAATTCTCCGTGCTATTGAGAATATGAGATAGGGAAGCGGCACCAGTTCGCGAACGGGCGCCAGATAGCGAACGGCGAGTCATGAGATGGGAGCTGACATCATATTTGCTTGGTGTCATACTTCATCTCTTGTACTAATTCACTGGTCTAGTCTTTTTCTACATTTTCCACAAGCTCGACATGGAATGATTGTCATAGGAACGGAATGAAAAATGCATATGTTTCGCCTCCCGTGGAAAGGCAGGGATTTTTAACTGCTGTAGCTAAGACCATCACCTTCTTCACGCATCAAACATTCGTCCACCCTGCCACCCTATAGTGATATGTGTGTTCTTCATTGTAGTTTTTCCCCGAAATATTGTAATTTGAGAATTTCCCAGCTGAATTGAGCCAAAAATTGCATTTGAGAGAGTGTTCGCGAGCTGAAACAGAATTCAGAATTTCGAGTCTGTGGTAGTTAGCGAACGGCCTGTTCGCAAACTGGGGCAGGCATTTCCTATTTGTGAACGTTCTGCGTTCAATGGAGTTCCATGTTCTCGATGCAAACTGGAGAAGCAAGCCAGATCATACTTCAAGGATTTGGTTTCATTGACATTATTCTAGTTTTTCCTTCGTGATTCTCTCTTTCTCCCAGACTGTTTCCTACTTCCGCAGGAGAGATATCTAAGTGTAGATCGAAGGTGATTTATTTCGTGATAGGCTGTTCCAATGCGAAACTTTTGTGATTATTTTTCAGTGATCTCTTCTCCTTGGCATTTCCCATTTGCGGAAATAATAGCTCCGAGGAGATGAGGCAAGATGCATTTGCTATGCTTTTCGTTTTCCTTCTCTATAAGGAAAGAACACAAACTCTCTTCTCTAGTTTAGCAGATTTTATGTTGAATTTCATATCAGAAGTCAGAGATGGATCCTTTTCCTAGGAGGTTTATTTCAAGCTTTTAAAGAAGCATAATGTATGTGCAAAAATAGCAACAACTTTCCCTTTTCAGTGTCTTCTAAGTGGTTCCGACTGTTTTTCTCCTTTAGGTTAAAGCTTTTCCAACTCCTTTTGTTGCATTATTCAACTCATTGAACAAGATTGATCCATTTTCAACCCAAAAATGGCACCAAAGAAAGAGAAGAAAAACACTAAGACGAAGAAGACAAAGACCCCAAAGAAGAGGACCACAAAATCAAACTCTCGCTCATACACGGCACAGGATTTAAAAACTGCATTGACATAGGTGCGAGCTGGCCAAATCTCGTACAGAAAAGTCAGTATAAAATATGCAATCCCGATCGGCACCCTACACAATCAGGTGAGCGGAAGGCGGCCTGATGCTCTGTCATCTCCGGGTCCATTACCCGTACTTTCAGAAGAGGAACAACACTTTGTTGATTGGATTGTGGACATGGCAAAGATCGGCTATGGCAGAACAAGAGAGGAACTTCAGGATGTTGTTAAAAAAATCATTGACGACAAGAAACTAGAATCCTCCTTCCCTGACAACAGATCTGGAAAGAAATGGTTCTGTGCTTTCCGCAGTCGACACCCAGAAATTTCTATCAGGCTTCCCGAGAATGTGGGGAAGGAACGATCGATGCTGACATGGGAAAAAATTTGCAAGTGGTTTGAGGACCTGGAAAACTTTCTCTCTCTTGAGATGAGCATCGATCCTCACACATTTTTTGTCTCTGAAAACAGTTCAAGAATTTTCAATGCTGACGAGACCGGCTTCTGTCTCCAAGGTGGTAGGGTGAAGGTTCTCGCAAAATCAGGGGAGAGGAATGTTTCTCAGATAGCTTCATCTGCAAGACAACAAATAACTGTTCTTGTGTGCTGCTCTGCAGATGGATCATTCCTGCCACCCTATATAATATATCCCGGGAAAAGGCTTCTACCTCTAGAGCATATTTCAGGGGCTCAACCAGATGAATATGCTGTTGGCATATCTGAGTCAGGCTGGATGAATGGAGACTTGTTTTGCATGGATCAGAGATATCTTCTTCCCCCAAGTAGAGGGGAGGGAGATTGAAAGACCGGTGATTCTCTTTGTTGATGGACATGCAAGCCACATTACGCCAGAAACTGGAATTTTTTGCAGAGAAAATGGCATTATCCTCTATTGCCTACCCCCTCACAGCTCTCACGTGATGCAGCCATTGGATGTGGGAGTTTTCTCGTCTATGAAGAAAAAATGGAACCATGTTGTAAGGGAACACATGTTTGAAGAAGGAACAGAAATAAAAAAGAAATCTTTCCTCAGAGTTTTCATGAAAGGTTGGAGAGATGCCTGCAAGCAAGAGAATGCCAAATCAGGATTCAGGCGAAGTGGCCTCCTTCCTCTCGCCAGGTATGCCATTTCCAAAGACAAGCTGTATGTATCACATGTCTACAGGGAAATTGGGCAACGGAAGAGTTCGACTGCAACAGATGCGGCCATTCAAACAGACCCTGTTGCTATTCATCCCCTCTCATGGACCTGTCAAGATGTTGGTGTCCAAGTCCCAGATGAAGAAGGATCTGCAGTAACAGACTACGAAGTTGCCGCTGATGAAGTCCTGTTACCTGTTGAAGGAACTAAAACAGGGGGAGAAGAAAAATCATCTCTGCTTGTAGACTTAGTTGTTGCTGACAGAATCTTGGCGCCTGTCCATGAAGTGCAAGCTCAGAAACTGGAAGCAGATGGATCTCTTCTACGAGACTTCATAGTGGCTGCTGATGGAAGATTGATACCTGTTTTCAATACGGAATCTACTTGCACCAAGGATGATCAAGTCACGGAAGTTCCTCCGAATGTTGAGAATAAAAATATCATCATCAACATTCCTGGCACATCAGCAGCAAGTATCCACAAAACTGGTCTGCAAGTTTTCAGTCTGACGGATGATGATGGCATAGTGCAGGCCCTCATCAGCGGCGGGGAACTAGAAGATTCAGCATCTCAAGCGAAACAGCTTTTGTCCAATAGTCCCTTGCGAAATGAGAATAGCTCTCCTAAAACTACCGAAGCTCAGAGGTAATTCACTTTCCAGGACTCGCCTTTCAAATCTCTTTTGCGTTTACACGAGAAGACACTAAAGAGTGGGAAGAAAAAGGTTATTGGTGTGAAGTTTCCTTGTGCAGTATCAGGGAAAGCCGAGGGAAGGTAGGGCTTCTGGAATAAAGAACAGGAAGTCATGTTCAAAGCAAAACTAATCTGGGGAAACCAAATGTGGAGTTTGTGGGATGGAAGCACATGAAATTCCATAGCACACGAGGACTGAACTACATGTCAAATTTGTGGAGGGTCGTCCCATAAAGGATGCATTGGATTAGAGCTTATTTGCATTTACGTTCTGCGTTTATCACTGTATGATATCGTACGAAGTCGAAATGAATCTATACATCTGGCTCATCTGTTTTTAGTTTTCTTTTTAAATATAGGGTCATTTGCATCCAATTTCTCCTTCAGCAGGTATTCGCTATCTATCAGATTCAGGCCTGTAGTAATTTTGGCTGGCCTGCAATTAATTCGTGAGATAGGCGTCGATATGACTTGCATGAATATCATCAGATGTCACATAGGATGAGGAGAGCAGGACCAGCATGAAGGATGCTCTTCAGCGTGATTGCGGCATGAGGTTTCGTTATCACTCCCTAGCGTATTAACTAACCGGGTCCTTTCCCCCTACTTCCTAGAATTGTAGTCATACCGTGCTCCAAGATTGATTCCATGCACCAAACACAAGAGAATTTCATGAGCCGGCGAATTCTTCGCACAAAATGAAGAAGCCAGTCCTCTGGTGATGGGAACACATGTGACTGTTCTTGCTCTTGATTCCACTGCCACAGATTTCGGCCAAACCCATGTCCAAAAATCGTCACAGCAGGGAAATCCGAATTTGTGGATGCTGATTAGCCCATTGAACTCAGGGCGGCAATGCAAATCCGTACATCCTAATTTTGCTTCGATACACCCAATAACAGATTTGATCGATTTTACACTATGAATTGCGGTTGGCAGAAAACGTGCGAGGTAAATGTAAGGTCGTTCGCAAACTGGCTCAGTAACTGTTCACTAACTGGGGCAAGGTGTTCGCTATCTATGAAATTCAAGTATGCAGCGTTTTGAGCTATCCTGTTGGGCAAGGCCTTCATCACCGTGTGTTACATATCATCTGTTGGGAATTTCGTAACCTATCCAACGATACCAAATTCACGTATTTATCTTCATTACTTAAGGAGTTATTACAAGACTTGTCACCACTTGGCACGAAGTTCCCCCAAACTGTCGAATTTGTGAATCTCTGTCATTCTCAAAATACATCATGCATGGAGCTGAAATTTGCTGTAATATGTTTCCTCAATAGGTACTATCAGCTTGCCGAATTTCATAGAAATTGGAGGGGGTCGGGAAAAAGTGTGCAGATTGACAAGGAATCAACCCTTTCCCTTCCAACAGGAATAATTGTCACACCGACTTGGGTCAACTTCCATCATCAAGAAAGCAAAGGATACTCGGGACACGAATAAGGACACGGGCCTCTTCCGCCGTCCTCCGATTGCTAATCGTATAATGAATCCAATGTTGACTGTCCTATTACATTTCTTTCCCTCCTTTGTGTCTGCGATTTTGGAACAAGCATGCCCCATCGAAGACATATCACCCTGCACGTGCACCAAATATACGGATGGCGATGTGAAATTGGATTGTTCAAGTGCCAGTTCTGCTGCAGACATTTCTTCGGCCTTAATCAAGGCCTCATGGCCCTCCACTCAACTCTGGTGAGAGAAAATTCTCTTGAATTTTATTTTCTCCTCTCCTTCAGCACCAAAATATTGGCAAATTTTGCACGCAAATTTTTAGCACTAGGATGTAAGGTAACGACGAGCTTTCGTAACATTGTAGACTAAGGTAATGTTAATTTAAAAACTAAATTTCAATTTCTTACGTTTTTGCAACAACTTAAAATTAAATTTAAAAAGTCCAATATTTCCTATTTTCACCAGCTTGGCGGGTTGTACCTTCCTGCTTTAAACATGATATAAATATGCAACTAGTGTCAAATGAAAGCTCTATCCCCGCCCTGTCCATTGATATATTACTCGTGTTGTGTACTTTTACTTTTCACGTCTGTGTTTTTTTGAACTTTTGAATTCCGCCAATTCCCAAACGAGTCTCCATGTTGGATTCTTCATATGTCATAATTGCCAACATGCAATAATTCATTCAAGCAAATCGTAGTTGGAAGCGCAACAACCCCAAGACAACTTGAGCTGAAATGCCTCATTCAGGTTCTTAAGCATTAATATATCAAAAAGGAAGAGAATATGACGGAAAACGTGGGATTTCTCGATAAATCCAAAAAAACTACTATGATTAAAGAATTCTAGGTAAATATGCATATAATGTGAAAATTTTATGAAGGAGAAATCAGAAATCACATTAATATTTATACACTAATGATCAGTTAGACATAATTATTTATCCACGAATGGAATCTCAAACATGCTCATCATGCATTTCTCCATGTAGGGGTTTTCAAATGCAGGACAATACGGAGGTAATAGAAATCCTGGAGGGATTCTTCGGGAGCCTTTCCTTCCAGAAGATATTTATAATCAATACTGCAGTAAAGAAAGTGGATCCAACAGCCATGCGCAATATGAAACTGTTCCCCCAGCATCTATCTATTCTCAATGGTCGACTGGAGAACTTTCCATTCCATATTCTTCATGAATTCCAATATCTCGAAGATCTCCAGCTGACCGACAACTTTTTGACGTATGTCCCGGATTTCAAGAGCGACAACCTAAAAATACTTCGTCTTGATAGCAATAAGATCACGAATGTGGATTTCGTTGGTTTAGCGACTCCAAAATTAAGAGAACTCTACCTTTACAACAATTACTTGACCTCTGTCCCGTCCATCAAGAGCGAAAGCCTAGAAATACTTCGCCTCGATAGCAATGAGATCAAGAGTGTGGAGTTCGATGAGTGGGCGACTCCCAATTTGAGAGAACTCTATCTCTACAACAATTACTTGAGCTCTGTCCCAGCTATCAAAAGCGACAGCCTGGAAATGCTTCGTCTTGATAGCAATAAGATCAAGAGTGTTGAGTTCGATGAGTGGGCGACTCCCAAACTAAAAACACTGCAACTCTTCAATAATTCGCTGACCACATTTCCGGCCTTTGAGAGCGAAAGTCTGGAATTACTGGGACTCAATGAGAATGAAATCACGAGTCTGGAATTCTATGGATCGGCGACTCCCAATTTGAGAGAACTCTATCTCTACAACAATTACTTGAGCTCTGTCCCAGCTATCAAAAGCGACAGCCTGGAAATACTTCGTCTTGATAGCAATAAGATCAAGAGTGTTGAGTTCGATGAGTGGGCGACTCCCAAACTGAAAACACTGGAACTCTCCAATAATTCGTTGACCACATTCAAGGCCTTTGAGAGCGAAAGCCTGGAGGTACTGGGCCTCAATGACAATAAAATCACGAGTCTGGAATTCGATGTGTCGGCGACTCCCAATTTGAGAGAACTCTTTCTCAACAACAATTACTTGACCTCTGTCCCGTCCATCAAGAGCGAAAGCCTAGAAATACTTCGCCTCGATAGCAATAAGATCAAGAGTGTTGATTTCGATGAGTGGGCGACTCCCAAACTGAAAACACTGGAACTCTCCAATAATTCGTTGACCACATTCACGGCCTTTGAGAGCGAAAGCCTGGAGGTACTGGGCCTCAATGACAATAAAATCACGAGTCTGGAATTCGATGGATCGGCGACTCCCAATTTGATTGAACTCTATCTCGACAACAATTACTTGGTCTCCTTCCCCGCCCTCAAGAGCGACAGCCTGGAAATACTCTATCTCAATGAAAATAAATTGAACAGTATGGCGTTTGACCGATTGGCAACTCCCAAATTAAGGGAACTTCATCTCGATGGCAATTTGTTGACCTTTGTTCCGGCCTTTGAGAGCGAAAGTCTGGAGTTTCTCTCTTTCCGTGACAATAAGATTTCGAGTGTGGATTTCGACGGATGGGTGATTCCCAAATTGAGAGAACTTTATTTCTACAACAATTCTTTGACCTTTGTTCCGACCTTCAATAGCAACAGCCTAGAAATACTAAGCCTTAGTTACAACAACCTCACGAGTGTGGAGTTAAGCGAATGGGCGACTCCCAAATTGAGAGAACTCTATCTGCACAACAATTACTTGACCTCTGTCTCGGCCTTGAACAGCGGCAGCTTAGAAATACTCAGTCTCTGGAACAATAAGTTTTCGAGTGTGGAGTTCAGCAGATGGGCGACTCCGAAATCGAGGGAATTAGGCATTGGTGAGTCTTGTCTTGTTGCATTATATAATCCATCCTACAGCATTATTCTTTTAATATTATGTTTCATCATTCGAAATTTATTTTAGAAAAGATCGTTATGGAAACAATGTATAGCAACCGCCCGTTTCCGATTTGGGTGGTTATATTTGAAATCCGGCATGTCCATCGTATGCTTGTCAATTAACTGTTTTAGATTTTTCAGAAGAAAATGTCTGTTCCTCACTTCCAACTCATTTCAATTTGTAGCTTATTTGCCTCAATATCAGCAATAGTTTTGCAAAAGAAATTCATGAATGGAATTCCCTAACTCATGAAATCACTGTTTCTCCCACTTTCATTTTGCTATATCTCCACAAGTAATTCATGTAGATTTGTGAAAATAATGTCTGACTTACTAAAAAGGTTTTCTTAAGTAAAGATATGGAAATAAGCCGAGCTTTCTTCACCTAATTTTTTTCACATTTTAAAACTGCAAAGTTTCTGTTTCTTTTCGTCTGGCAATTTTTTTTCCAGTTAAATAGTTCAATTATCTTTTGATATAATTTTGTCCTTTTTCGAATCTATGCGAATTTGGTATTAATTGACACCTTTTGTGATTTGCCCAAACAAAAAGGAAGAAAAAATTTTTTTCCCAAAACCCCATCTTTGTTTTCCACCAATTTTTTTGCCTTGGTTCTACAAGGCATGGGTTACTGCATGAAATAAAAGTTTTCCTTTCCTCTGGTGACAATTTTATATGTACTTAAACTTGCGCATTTCCCAATGATTTGTGAAAGACAATGGTCAAACATATTCAATCATTAGCCATATGTAAGCAGCATACTAAATATTAATGTCATGTGATGATTAATTCAAATATGTGATCGCATCCTACACCGATGTAATGGTCATATTGGGTAGCATGTGAATAATACCTTGTCATGGTTTTCATATGTTGATGATAATTTGCATTTTCGGCCCTCTTAACTTAAGGACATTATAAATAGGGAATCATACTGGAGACCCACACTAAAAGCATTAAATTGATACATTTCCAAAATGAACCCAATTATTTTGGTATACTTTGTAACTTTACATACATGTGGTCATTTCATGCACTTGTGAGCCTTCAAAACCTCACAGCTATAGTAGAAACCCATTGCGAGTCCCAACAAATCGAAAAATGTTACAACATATTTTTGGAAAGAGTGTATTGGGCGTCAATAAAAATTTAACCAGGGGGTAGGAAACCGGTCTGGACACCGAGGTCGCTTGCATAGTTCTGGGTATAAACCCATAGCAAATGGTTTCTTGGCACCCAGTATATTGTGGATTTTTACTTTGCATCTGGAGAAATATACCTAACTTGAACCATTCAATCTTAGCAGAACCAGATGCAGAGACAAATCATTGGCCTAACTCCAAAACATTGTGATCCTAGACAATTTCTTCAGAAGGTGGATCTGAAACGTTTCGATTCATTTCCCATGACTTCCAGGGGTTAAAAAGACAACCATCAATTCAATTGTATGTCCGAATGAAGTAATTGATTTTCCAGTCACATCACCGCATGCCATTGTAAATTTGCATTCCAGGTCTCAGACCAAATACTGAGGTTAATCTGACCAACAACGAAATCGTAGTATTGTCTGAGGAAACCTTCAGCCCACTGTTGGACATTCTCTCTTCAGGAGATGGAGTCCTCATTCTAGACGGTGAGTTTCATGGTTTCTCACCATTGAAAAAAGCCTTTTGTTTCTTCGTCACTTCGTTCATCTGCTTCATCGCTATTTTTGTGCGCCCCTATTCCAGGCAATCCTATCCGATGTGATTGTGACATAGCATGGCTAGTTCGCAATCAAAAATTTCTCAGCAAAATTGCTGGGAAGTGCCACAATGGAACCGAATTCCATGAATTGAATTTAGAATTCATCCAAGACTGTGATAATCAATGTCCGTACCAATGCGTTAAGAAGCAATTGTGGTCTTTCTGCAAGCCGGGAACAGTGATTCCTTCGAAAGTAGATAACTGTCGCTTCGATGAGCTATGCTGCCAGTCATCCTTTACAACAGCCACTACGACGACACCTGCATCACGTCCAGAGAGGCCTGTGTGTCCATCCGAATTTATCTGTATAAATGAAAATTATATTCTTCTTTGTGACAAGCACAGTGTAAACCCTTTTTATAGCTGTCCTTTGGCAAAACATGTATGCTGCCAGATCTTTCTTAAGGACAGACAAATGCAACCGTGCCCTTCCACCCATGTGTGCCTTCATCGCTCAGATAAAAGCAAGTGCAATTCAGGAACTGAGATCTCAAACGCATCATGCCCGGGAAATGGAGTGTGCTGCATCGTGAAGATCGTCTCGCAGAATTTCGCCTCCTTCCAGCCATCTGGATCCAAAGGTAACGTCCCCAATGACAATTTTTCAAGCAGACGCTGTTCGGATTCGCAATTTCTGTTCCATGTCAAGCGAATGATTAAATGTTTATTTTAAATAATTTCCCCCGTGCTTTGGAACCAATTTCTGAATATTCAAGACGACCATCAGAAAAAAAATGGAAAATGAGTTCCAACGGAGGAACTCAGAGCCGCGGATAGAGTGTAGAGTGAGGGAAACTTTGCCAAAGCCTACGTTGGCTGGGATTGGAAGATTTCAGTCACTTGATTCATGGACACCATTTCGACTCCGTCGCTTTGCCTCGCTGCACCCAGATAATGTGGAAGTATTGAGACTCCCGCTTCACCGGTTGTTATTGTGCGGTTCCGACAACCTAGAAAATTCGGCCTCTTAATCAATGTCTAAAATAATCTAGAATACGAGAAGCAAACTAGGAATTCCTGACAGAATTCATGAATTCTCATTAGGGACAGGCCATAGAGAAAGAAGAGAAATTCAATGATTCCTTCGCCTTTATGCTTGTTATGTTGTCTAGGATGAAGAAGTGATCATTGGAAATATGAAACGTACTCTCGACATTACCTTGATGGGAACCAGGAGGCATGAACTATGGAGAATGATTCATTCATAGATGTTAGCGGAGTGAGCACGAACAAATTGAGGAGCAGGAAACCCCTGGGTCAATGTTCAAAAGTATCTCGTGCGTCTTTCCCTTATTTTTTATTTTTATCTTGATAAGAAACCAGCCGGTTACAAAGGGCATTTTATCGGTGGATCAATCTGTCTATGGAGGTATTAGCAGGGGATATGTTCTGAGCCTGAAGGAAAGTGAAGTATCAAGAGTCGGGAATTTTTTGTTGTTAGGTCATTTTGTCGGTTACTGGAGTTCAAATCCCCATTGCTACCAGTATCGCAAAAGAGATATTTTTCAATTTGTCAGCAAATTTCTCAGGCTGGCTGCGGATTTGAGAAGGGAACGAAAGAAAAGGCAGACCGAGCATGATTTAAATTTAAAAGTAAATAAAATTAGGTCTGCAAAATACAAACAGCAGGGAACAAAGGCGTTTTTGCAGCAGGAAAAACTGAATTATTTATAATAATGACAATGATATTGGCAGCCTCCCATTTGACTAATTTTGTTTCTATCTATCCAAATAGGAATTACTATAACTATCTCTTCTATCCTATACTTTAATTCGAAGAGGTCAAAAGCTGCGGCGGCGGTGGCTGTCACCCCCAACGCGCAGGCCTACGATGCAATCCGATTCTGGATCATAGGCTAGGCCATCCACGGCCTAAAGCGCCAGGCCTACAAGGCTACGCCTTTCCAGACCATCTGCTAGGCTGAAGCTATCTTGCATTCAATGATTTCAAGTGAAGGAATCAACTTAAAAAAATAAAATGTTTAGGGTTTCTTCCAATGACATGAGAGGTAATAGCAAACACAGAAAATTGGATGTACATGCGCTCTACAAAAAAGCAAAATTAGAAAAAATTCAAAATTAAAAACAACTCCAATCGCCTTGAAAATCTCACCCGACATAACCCGATCATTCTGTTACGCAGCCATGATTCAGCGGTTGCGGCACAAATAGGTTTCGATGGGTAAAAAAATATTTCTTTAACGCAAATCGGGAAAATACTATTATATAGGAAATAATGAATATTTCCCCATTAGGAACCCTACCAATCTCGTTCAAAATCTCACAAACAATAACCCAATCATTCTGTTACGCAACCATGATGCAGCGGTTGCGGCACAAATAGATTTGGATGGGTAAAATAATATTCATGTAACGGAAATCGGGAAAGTAATTTTTTTGGAAATAATCAATGTTTCTCCATTAGGAACCCTATCAATCTCGTTCAAAACCCCACCCGACATAACTCGATCATGCTGTTACGCAACCATGATGCAGCGGTTGTGGCAAAAATAGGTTTTGATCTGTAAAAAAATATTTATTTACCGCAAATCGGGAAAATACTATTATATAGGAAATAATGAATATTTCCTCATTAGGAACCCTACCAATCTCGTTCAAAATCTCACAAACAATAACCCAATCAATCTGTTACGCAACCATGATGCAGCGGTTGCGGCACAAATAGATTAGGATGGGAAAAATCATATTCCTGCAATGCAAATCGGGAAAGTAATTTTTTTTGGAAATAATGAATGTTTCTCCATTAGGAACCCTACCAATCTCGTTCAAAATCTCACCCGACATAACCCGATCATTCTGTTACGCAACCATGATTCAGCGGTTGCGGCACAAATAGGTTTGTATATGGAAAAAAAAATTCATGTAATTCAAATCGGGAAAATAATTTTTTATTTAAATAATGAATGTTTCTCCATTAGGAACCCTACCAATCTCGTTCAAAATCTCACCCGACATAACCCGATCATTCTGTTATGCAGCCATGATTCAGCGGTTGCGGCACAAATAGGTTTGGATGGGTAAAAAAATATTCATTTAACGCAAATCGGGAAAATACTATTATATAGGAAATAATGAATATTTCCCCATTAGGAACCCTGCCAATCTCGTTCAAAATCCCACCCGACATAACGCGATCATTCTGTTACGCAACCATGATTCAGCGGTTGCGGCACAAATAGGTTTGTATATGGAAAAAAAAATTCATGTAATGCAAATCGGGAAAATAATTTTTTTTTGAAAATGATCAATGTTTCTTGCTCGGGATCCCTACCAATCTCGTTCAAAATCCAACCGGACATTACCCGATGATTCTGTTACGCAAGCATGATGCAGCGGTTGCGGCACAAATAGGTTTGGATGGGTAAAATAGTATTCATGTAACGCAAATCGGGAAAATAATTTTTTTTTGAAAATGATCAATGTTTCTTTTGCGCCCTTTTGCGTCTATTTTTCAGTGGGATTATATATATATATACATTTCCTTTTTCTATTTTCAGGTTCACCAGATCATCGAATTCTTATCATGGATGGCAATTGTGGCTGATTCCGTAATGCTGACGGAATATCTTGGAAGTCCGTTTATTTTTCGTCGTCAGTACTTCGTCCGTCTTTGATATTCCTGGAAAAAACGGTGGTTTTCCTTCGAGAGGAGTAGCCCCTTCCACTCCTGCGAGGTGTTTTGTGACGGCTGCCCCATGTGCACGTGTGCAAATGAAGAATTTATTTTTAGGAGCAATAAAATGTTTTTTCTTCTCCCACCTGGACGGATATTTCTCATTCATTATTGTCAGTCTCTTGTGTATTCTTCTTCTTAACTTGGCTCTGAAAGTTTTAGAAAACTTCGCCACACCTTGTTCCACCATCTGAGTATCGTTTTACACCTTTCGCCTTTGAAGGGATCATACTAGGTCATGCGGATGTCCTGTTCCTCATTCTTCAACTAGCCTCAAAGCAGTTCGTAGTCCGTAGACTCTGTCTGGTTAACACTCAAGAAATGGATTCTCCATTCCTAGTGAGAGTCTTCTTAGAAGATCGTGAAGTGATTTGTACTTGGATGCAGGATTCCCCATCAGCAGAGGTCGGTTGAATTATTTTACTTTCAATTTTTTTGACAGATCAAGTTGTAGACTGATGTTCATTGTAATATTTTTAAACGTTTAATGAGAATATTTTCAGTTATCAATTTCAATATTTATACCTATTTGGAACATTTTTTGGTAACTGCATTTTGCTCATGTAATTATTCATAGCGACCAATGTCATGCGTTTCACGCATCTTGCTTCGTATTTCAACCTTTTACGAAGCTTCTAGTGATCGGAAAGTATAGACTAGGGTATTTCGCCGCTATTGAAGAATCACCCATGTCTGTGTTTAAAAAAAGAGCTAAAAACCGATTGAAAGCATGAAAAAGAAAGCAATTGCCACTTGACATTGACTACATAGATTCATATGTGATTTGTAAATATTCTGTCGCTAAATACTTCAAAAATATTCTCAAGAGCATTTTCCCATTTATTGCAAATAAATTGCGAGATACAAGTTACGAAATTCCAATTGACGGTGTTATTACTTAAATACCAATATATTTTCCTCCTACTGCTAACATCTGCTGGCAAACCCGACACCTGATTCCGTCAGTGCTTGACGCGTTCACGTCATTAAATGACGTCACTCTCAGGCAAGCAGCTGCCAGTGGAACGTCACGAACTATGGGAGTACAGTACAGTCCAGCTCGAACGTGACGTCATGGGATAGATAGAAGTTTCAGCTGAGCCAGCAGAGCGTCTTAGTGAAAGGACGAACTCAGACACCCCAAGTTCTGAAGCTTTCAGGTCTAAGCTGGCTGCGGGCAAGCCCGATCGGTCCAACACGACCCGTGGGTGGGGTCCGCAAAGCCCTTCCTGGCGATCATATTTTCAGTCTGGCAGGACTACGACTCGAATCGGGCAGATCAGGTCGGGTTCGAAAGTCAATGCTTTCAGGCTTCCGGCAAAAAAAATCGGCATTTTGTTACATACGTACTTGATAGACATTTGGGATGGAATATGAAAATAATTTGAATGAAAATGTAATGCTTCTCACCCACATCCGTCTGACAGTAATGAAGATAATATTTTGAGCTATTTCATGCTTTCATTTGAAGTCCTCTTCGCCGCTTTCAAACTCTTTTCTGGGCTGGGAATTCCTACCTGTTGTTCCGACGCCAAATCCGACAGACGACATTGTGCAACAAAGGAGATGGGAATCAACAGTAATGCTAGAACTTATGTCACTCAATGGATGAGCTCAGATCAAAAGAGTACTTCCTATTTGAATGCAATATTCTCCGTTTCCTATTTCTCTTCTCGCCTGGAAATTTTCACTTGTCCTTCTCGATATTCAAATCCATAAATTGATGTTGCGCAACTGAGGCGACGTAAATTTACAGTGATTGAAGGAAATATGTCCCTCATTGAATACTCTCAGCTAAAGAGAGTGCTTCCCCTTTGAATCCAACATTTGCCGCTTTTA